ATTGTTGTAGGCTTTGTAAGTTTGTAGTGAGCATCACTGTCAGCTCCAAAAAAAGGACACTGCAATTGCCACTTTCCACAAAACTTAGGATTTCGGGAAAGGCGGCAAGAATTGAAACTTTTTACTTGCTTGTATCAGTTTGAACTCTACTACTGTCGCATAATTCATTTTTATCACATGGGTCCCCTGTACACCTAACGAAAGGATACGTATATTAAAATTGTAGGAAAGAGGCCACCATCATTACGCGTGAATTGTGCTTAAAAGAGAAACTATTACAGATTAGCAGCGAATAAGGGATACAAAGTGTCATCGACAATATCGGATTGCCCGACTTGTCCTCTTAACAATTTGCTGCAGCTGTAAGCCTCAAGTATTATGGTCAGCGTTTGAAGTAGTGCGAAAAAATATGCAGTTTCCTGACTTTTATAGACCTTGTTTTGCAACAAATTACACTTGGTGGAATTCAAAGAAAAAAGAGTCTTGTCATCTGCTAAGAAATTGCTAGAAAGAGGACTTTAGAGAATTCAGCTTTTCCGCATAGCAGTCTCCAGCAACTACCCTGATGACCTTCTCAACACGTCACGCACGCCGAAGATGTTTCCTCTTCCCTGCTTTGCTTACAATTGAGCAAAAGCGCCGCAGGATTTTTTGAGTTTTCGTCAGGGAAAGGAGTGAAGGCATCGTATTCTATTTGCTTTAGAAGTCATAGTTTGCGTAGGTACTCCAACCACTTTTGGCAGAACGGTGAAAATAGCGTCTTGGTAGCGGAAGTCATAGAGGACAAGAACTCGTGCCAGTAAACGACCTAGAAGCTTCTTCTATCTTTGATAATTCAGGCAGTCTTCTCTTTTGTTTTTGAGTCGAATGTCTTCGCAAAGCATTGCCGCAACGTAAATGTGTGCTTGATCTTTCCGGACTTCCTGCTTACTTTTTACTTTACTTTTTAAGAAAAAAAGTGCTGCGCGTTCAGTCTCCATGACTTCTAAGGTCAAGTTTTGAATTATTTGCCCTAAGTGAGAGTGGGAAGAACTTTGGAAAGAGCAGCTGCGAGCTTTGATTTGGAAACTGTATGAGTATCAAAGACCGGTTGGAAATGCTTGAAGGCGATGAAGAGAAAATTGTGACAACTTGACCAATAAACTCTTTAGACTGCTTTAAAGTTTTCGAATAATCCTCATTGTCTGCTTGATGTTACATCTTTCTCGTCTCTTTGCCCTTTTTGTCACTCAATAGCGGTGACTTTTTCGGGAAGCTCTACGGGAACAGGATCGTCTACTCACAATTATGAAAAACAATAAATTTGCAGAATACCTAAAAAAAACGAATTGACAGCTTTTTCTAATGCCTTTCGAAATTCTTAGTGACCAGAAAGATGCCACAATCTCGATTCAAAGTGTGATTATCTTGTTTCAACAATTTCCAGAAAAGTCCTTTAAATTTTAATTTTTTTGCGCGATAATTTCTCAAGTCTAACAAGAATGCAGAGTAATGTTCGATTGGACAAAGCAAGCTTCAGTTTGCACCGACTTGTATATCTTGAGTTAGAAGCCGGAATCCAAAACTTTTGAGTACCCAAAAATGAGAAACATTATATCTTCGTTCTAAACAATGCTGTTGGGTCTTCCACTCGTCCAAGCATGTACACTCCACATAAGGCATTCAAATATGCCGTTACTGTGATTCTTTTTGAGTTAAAAACCGAAAAACTAAAATTGCTAGGCTTTTGCAAAAGCGATGCTTTGCTGTTCTAGCACAAGTAAATGTATTAGGTTGGCACGAAAGTTCTGTCGCACCATTTCCAAAAATTCATAACTTCTGACTTTTCCAACCGATTTGACTGCTTTTATTTTTGTATGAAAGTGTAAATCATGCTCTTTATCTCAGATAAAGACATCTCAGATGCTTGCTAATGATCATCTATTGCATAGATAGGAGCGAAGAAAAAATTTTACTTTTACTCAATACTTTTACTTACTACTTTTACTTTTACTTAATTACTTTTTTCAGTTTTCTTGGTATCTAGCATCTTGGTGTGGAAGATTCTTTAGACAAGTGTTATCCTAGCGGAAAAGTAGCAATTTAGCAATTTTTCTTCGGACAAGGTTATAAAATTTTCAAAGACTTTCAGATATCTGAAACCATCTAGACTCCAGTATCTAACTCAGAGCGTATTGAAGCTTGTGCGAACCCCTATCAAGGAGATGCTCTATGGAGCGTACCTACCTTGCACGCTAGTTGAAATTGTGATGCTCAGGACTTACTGCGGTTAAAAGTTGAAATCAAACCTAGGTATCGAATTCAGCAACCACCTTCTGAGGCCTTCTGTTAAAATCGATACACCGTCAAAATGCTAGAAATTCACATTTATTTTTTCAAAGGCTTGTTATTCTAAAATCCATAAGTTTATTCTTGTAAGAACGGCTCAGCGTTGCGTGATGAACAAAACAAAATTCCACTCTCCTTGAAGAAGGAATATAACAACTTTTACATGAATACCTGATTCGTCAGTGAGAGATCTTTGAAAAATACCTGAATAAAATTTTTTAAAAATTTTTTGGACATGTACAACTTGCGACTTTTGTTCAGATTTAACGTGGATATTGGCAAGAAAGCATAGACGCTATCCTGTAAAGCATTTCATGCATTTTTTTAGCCCGGCGCGGTGCCATAGCAAGCAAATAAAAAGCACCATTGTCTTGACAACCCCATATCTCGGAGTGAAAACCATTCAAGATATACATTTTTTGCAGTTTTTACCATGTTCTAAAGTAAGTTAATCTAATTAAAATCGCATTTAATATTGATAAATCAAAGTTTTAGTTTGAGGTGAGCTTGAAAGGCTCTACTGAAGAAACTACTGTAAAGCCTGGCTGTGTGCACGCCTGGAACGACTATTTAGTGGTTGCTGTTGTCTTCCTCTAAACAGAATCAGTCTGTTTGCAACAACCTCCAAAAGCTCCACGTCTATGCATTCAAAAGCGGCGCGCGATAAATCTATGGACAGTAAGGTAAATCGCCGCTTCACGTGAAGCTCGCCATCTGGCCGATTTACTTGAGGAATGCTTCAACCACTACAGAATTTCCAAGAAACGTAACCTTGACATGAAATGGAAGCTAGACGTCTTCGCTGACGCTAGTCTACTCGAGTTTTCCCATGTCAAAGGGCTTTCAAGAAAAGTTTCTGTGAAAAGTAACGACACATGCTAGTGCGTGTTTAGTTCTCGATGGTATTAGTTAGGCAAGCACAGAAAAGATATTTTCGAGTTACTATTTCCGTATGGCAAACAAGCCAAATTAGACAAGCTCCCCTCAAGGTCGTAGAATTGCTCCTTTCTCGCAAATTATGGAACGCATCAATGGGTGTTCGCTAAATTTCGTCGCATGCTTTTTAGGCGCTGAAGAAGTGGGTTTGTCAAGTGCAATAAGGCCTGTGTCCAAACCTTTTCATCAAACTCTTCAATTGATAAATCACAGGTGCGTCATTCTTTGTGTTCTCCTCGCTAAATGATGTTAGACGCAGTCCTAAATTACAACTCTTTTCGACGAACTAAGCATTTGTACACACTTTTACGTGCTAAGATATAAATAGAAGGTGATTTCGACTCCTTCGTAAAAGATTTATGGCATTTGCTTTACGACTTGCATTGTCATGTATCATGGTAATGTGTCAAAATTCCTTCAACTATGTTCATTGTTATCAATTTTTAGGAGGGATTTTTTAGATATGGTATTGATGTAAAGGATGCACACACTAATTCACTTAAGAAAATGGAAAAAGCAAGATATGTTGAAAGAATTACGCCTATGTCATCTACCTATTTTCTTTTGCGTGGAAACTACATATTCGCAGCTCGAGTGTCTTGCGTGCCCCTCAGTCGATGAGGTCACTTTGAACGTTGGTTTTGAGCCCGGACATACCTCATACGCGATTTCAGTCGCGACGCGATTTGGCAAACCTCCAGTTGTTCATAACTCATCGTAAGGGGTTTCTGAGTGTACAGAAGATGGACATTTTGTCAATTTACGAAAGTTATACATGCTGCGCATTTAGGGTCTGTCAGTATTCATTTGAAGGCATCTGGAAAAATCCAGATCACATGGCGGCTGAAATCGCATGAGGTATGCCCAGTGCCTTAAGCGCGAGCGCGAGCGAAGCCCCAACGTGACTATTGTGGATTGAAAAGGCTGGAATCGTCTCAAACAATTCTGGTCCAAAAAGGATTTGATATACTTTCTCTCAAAGAGAAAATGGCTTCCACGACTAAGTAGTTCAAGATTGTATAGTTCCAACTTTTAAACACCTGACAAGACTTTGTATTTTCTACTCAGTAACGTGCGATTGATCATTTTCAAAAAAAAACTTTGGATCTATGACACATGAATCATTATAGTAAGAGATAGGTTAAACGACCAGCGTAAAAAAGTCCATGCGTAGTGTGAGTCTGATGCTGTAAATAGTTTTCAAATAGTGGAAGGTGCCAATATTTTTTCAGTATGAGAAAAACACTCGTAAAAATTCAAAGAGTCGAAGCATTTGCTTGGATTGGATTGACAGCAAATCTAGAATTGCGCTTTTTAAATGTGCAATGTTATGAATTCCTTTTTTCTATGTTACTCAATATAATTTCCCTTCTAAGTTCTTAACAGAGACCTCCTGCGCAGTATTTCAGAGTGCATGCATGTTTGTTTCGTTCTTGAGATTTCTTTTTACAACTCCGGGACTACTTTATGCCACAACTTTTCAGTTTTATACTGCCTCTAATGTTCCTTATAATGCTTACACTCATTCAAAGCCAGTACAATTTATCTTTTTTCAACCTCCGTTGGAGACAAATGCTGTCTAATTTTTGATATTGTGTTACATCTCATGCGTTCATATCCTAGATATTACATAAGCACCTTGACGCAATATCAATGTTTTTTCTATTTGTTTTCAGTAATTATTATCCACGTGTTTTTACTTATCCCCATCGCTGGGAGTACGCTTACAAATTTAGCTCTAATTCGCTCAAAATGACTCGCACACTCTTGATCGTCATTCTTCTTTCCATGCTTGCCGCTCAAACCATAGCTCAATGGGGATATCCATATGGATACGGATACCCTTATGGCTACGGTCGTAGATGGGGATATGGAGGATACGGTAACTACGGTTATAACAGAAGTCAGTCCGTTTGATAATTTTTCGATGAAACAATTACAAAAAAACTAGTCACATTTATTTAGACCCTGTCGGTAGCGCTCTACGAGGAGCATTGATCGGCGGCATGATGGGTGCCATGATGGGATGAAACAAGAGCGATTGTTCGAGAACAAAAATGAGTGTTCTAGCAGAACATACTTCAGTACTATGTAATGCACTCTCCAGTATTTGATATACGTCAATGAATAAACGTACTTCGTTTCAGAATTGAGCATTTTTGGAGATAATTTGGCGAAGCGTTTGACTTTCAAACATGTGCGCTTTGATGCACGTGAGCTAAAGAAAGGCGTCAACATCCATTTAGATTAACGAACTAAGGCTGGGTTCATATATTCCCAAAATTCCAGAACAGTTTGAACACAGTTCTCGCACTGGCTGGAACTGTTCCGGAATTTTTGAATCAGTATAAACTCAGCCTTAGTCGCTGGTCTGAAGGGTATTGACAAAATTTAATGCTAATCAAAAACCCAAGACTAACAGTAAAAGCTGTTTGAAGAACTGAGGCTGAAACGCCCAAATTCCCAATCAGGGCCCGGCGGGGGTGGCGCTTTCACGAGCTGGATATCGTTTTTGGCCCGAGGACCCCAAAATACGACTTCTCCTTTGTTTACCGATAACAATGCACATACCATTCTTTATTCATCACTCCTTGTTGATGCTACTGTCCTATGAACTTAGATTCCAGCAATCTGAAGATTTTGTCCAGCAATGTGAAGATTCTGTGCTCCGATCGCTAGCCTGCCCGCAAGCGGGAATTCAAATCGCAATTCTTGTAAGAGGAAAATAACAAAATAGGCTCGTTCTCAATGCACAAGTAACGATATGGCACTAAATTTGCTGTATAGCTGGAGGACCATGAGCACAAAAAAAGTGCGAAGAATTATGAGAAACTTATGTGAATTTAAAAAATGGTAAGTGTTTTTCGAAATTATGTGGCTCCCGCGCCACCTGGGAGCAGAGGTGCGATAGTGGGAGCCAAGTCTCCCCCTACCTTCACTTTTGAGCTGGTACGGGGTGACCACCTTCACTTTTGGAATAAAAAATTTTTCGCTGGACGACAAAGAAGGAAAATAAGCAAAACAAACGCAAAAAAGATTATTGAAAGCATATATTTATGTATACGGCGGCATATATATTTAAAATAAAGGTTTTTAGTAAATGGTGTATTTGGAAGTAAAGCTTAGCAAAACTGTACGGATTTTATTAAGCGAATTATGTTATAACGTATAGCGAAGGAAGTAGGTCGATCCAGGCAGTAACGGCCGAGAACCAGAATTTTGAATATTTAAATAGTGAAAAATCATGCGAAATTTCCACTGTTATAAATCTGTTGTTTGAAGATGTCAGCAGTTGCGACTTCATAGGTTTTGAAGAGTAGATGTTGCTCTATCAGCTAGTGAAGGAATCGGGTCGATTTAAGAGATAGTCGTTGAAAACCAGAATTCTAAAACTTTACGCCATTTTTGCGTGTTTTTTGACTGTTGAGAGTTAAACTCTTATAAATCTTGAATGTGGAAGTGTATGATGTTGCGACTTCATAGGTTTTATAGAGTAAGGTTTGCCTTATCAGAATATGTCTTGTCCGTTCCGATCCATTGAAACACCTCCGAGATCCAGGCTCTTGAAAAAGCAGGTAAAAAACAGCTTTTTGAACTTCAACAGCTCGTAACTTCTCCAGAACTGCATGAATCATGTTGCGACTTCATAGGTTGAATTCTTCTTATCAAGAGCTTTCAGATGATATATAATATGTGGGAGTTTCGCGCCTCTTACGGCATATGCCCGGGGGGGGGGGGAGACTTTTTAGGCCAAAGTCTCCCCCGGCAGCCTCCAGCCAATACATTGAAATGGGCGAGGGGGAGACTTTGGCCTAAAAAGTCTCCCCCCCCCCCGGGCATATGCCGTAAGAGGCGCGAAACCCCCACATATTATATATCATCTGAAAGCTCTTGATAAGAAGAATTCAACCTATGAAGTCGCAACATGATTCATGCAGTTCTAGAAGTTACGAGCTGTTGAAGTTCAAAAAGCTGTTTTTTACCTGCTTTTTCAAGAGCCTGGATCTCGGCGGTGCTTTGATGAATTGGTACGGATAAGATATATTCTAGTAGGGCAAACCTTACCCTAGAAAACCCATGAAGTCGCGACATCACACATCTTCACAATCAAGAGTTTTAGGAGTTCAAATGTCAGCAGTCAAAAATTAGCCTAAAATCGCCTAGTTTTTCAAAATTCTCGTTCTCAGCGACCACTGCTCAAATCGATCCGATTCTTTCACTATCTGTTAGAGCAACACTTACACTTTAAAACCTATGAAGTCGCAGTTGCTGACATCTTCAACCACTTGGTTTATAACAGTGGCAATTTTGCATGATTTTTGGTTATTTTTTCATTCAAAATTCTGGTTCTCGGCCGTTACTGCCTGGATCGACCTACTTTCTTCGCAGTACGACATAACTAAATTTACTTAATAAAATCTGTAGAGTGTCGTTGAGTTTCACTTCAAAATACACCATTTCATTGACACGTTTATTTCGAATATTTATGCCGCTGTGTTCACCGTATTTGTGGCCCTAAAGAGGGCCGTTGGGTTACAGTTATTGGCCCTAAAGAGGACCGTTGGGTTAGAGCTCTTCATTTATCCGAAGTCATCATGAAGCTTTGCTCTATCGGAGAAAGTGCTGAGGCGTATATGCGTCCATGTCGGTGATGGCCTCCAGGTGCCGCAGTGGGCGACGGCGACTTCCTAAAAGTAAACTACATAGAATATGCTCTCAATAATTTCTTTTGCGTTCGTTTTGCTTAATTTCCTTTTTTTCAGTTTCAGCAAAAAAAATCAAAACCCAAAAGTGAAGGCATTCGCGGCCGGCAACGACGTGAAAGGATAGCTCAGTTCTATGCTTCCCCCCCCCCCCTCCCTACCCTCCCCCTCTATACCCCCGATCAACGTTTTTGAGAGGTGAGTGTCCAGCATTACCACCCACTTTTGCTGGCCAGTGGTAGCCTGCGACCACCCCCCCCCCCCCCGTCGACATTTTTGGGAGGTGAGTGTCCGGCACTACCACCTTCACTTTTGGCAGCCATTGGTAGCAGGGACCACCTTCACTTTTGGGGGACCCGGCTCCCCCTATCGCACCTCTGCCTGGGAGCAACCTGGGGTGGCTCCCTGCTTCCCTTCACATAATTTCCCCGATTTCTTTACATAAATGTGGACTAGGTCGAGAGTATTACTATATATTCAAATCCGCTTCCAAAACCACCAAGGCACCGCTTCGATACAGCCCCAAATAGGGTTCACAGCGTTATGATTGGCCTCGGAAAGCGCGCTCCAATCGCAATCGGTTATTGTAAATTGTAAAGTTTCGCGCTGACTAATAAATGAGTAGTATCTTAGATATATAAACGTCAAAGTTTGTGCAAATCTTGACCCTATGTTTTTTTATAGATTCCTTTGCGGATGAACCCATTGAGCTGAAAACTTGAGGGTGGAGGACTATATGTCGCCAAAAAAGGGCGGTTCCCGCGGTCATTTGCGACAAATACGCACCCTTGTACATGCGCGGACATGCGTTCCTGCAGGGAATCCGCGCGGGACTCTTCCAAATTTGGCAACATATAGTCCTCCACCCAAACCTTGAAAACATATGTTTTCGGCCTCGGTAGATGGTTTCAAGCTACCCTTCGAAGCAATTCGTGTAATTCTTCTATCGATTTAATGATTTTTGGCACCTTGCGAGGAAAGTGAACACTTAACAGCCGCTAACAAACTGCTTGCACATTTTGGTGTGAACAATGCAGTGAAGTTCATTTCCACTTTAAAATTAGAAGGTGCAGTCACTCCGATAAGCCTTTCTGGGGTAAGCTCGTGCAGGAGGGTAAGGGGGAGGGCTGCAGTGCAGTATTGATACTGCAGAAAAGGGGTGGAGAATATGGCCCAAAAGGACGGGAAGGTAGAAGGACAAAGTGTGGTTTTTGGCCATCCCCTCAAACGATGACCCGGGCTGGACCAGGAAAGCCAGGTAGTACTATTATAATAAGCGCTGAGGCCGCCCATCTTATTATTTGTGTACATCCGTTTGCAGGGACTTACGGGGGTCAATAGGGTCAAAGGGGAAGTCGTAAGAAATTTTGGCTTCAAAGGGGATATCGTTTTCAAAATTCTGAAATGCCACCTCCTGCCGGGCCCTGAACCCAATATCATGAAACATAAGGGAAGCCAGTCCTCTCTGAAAGCAGCTAAGATATTAAGGGATATAGCGACTTCCTGAAATATTAGGTGGTTTAATAAGTTCAATCACATTTTTTCTTTTGATTTTTCCTCAATATTGCGCGATGTTCTGCAAACTGTATATATGCATATGAAAGCTCTAATCCTGTTCTACTAAATATTTCTATTTCGGCTTCCTACATCAGAAGACTAGAAAAAGTTTTACAGCATCAAATCTGGAAAAACAAAGGAAAAAAATCTATTTTTGGCGACTACTTTACGTCGCCCTCCAAATAGTCAGAATGCGCACAAAATAGCTCGAGGAATTTGTTGCACATAAGCAAAGAATTCTATAGCTTTTACTGCGCTTCAGCTGGCTTCAAAATCAATTCATAGGCTAATTACTCAAAATTTGAATTTTCGGAGCCACGCAGCTTAGGTACGCAAGATCTTTACTTGTGAAAAAATGACATCAAATGGTCGATGGAAGGAAGGTAACAAGCACAAACAGTGACAGAATAAACGTAGGAGCCTAATAGATTGTTTTATCTGTTGTCAAGCTTGTCTAATAAGTTTTATCAATTAAAAACGAAAAATTTGGATTAAGAAAGCTGTCAAAAATTGATCTTTCGACTTTGCGGATTTTCTTATTTCAATGGCAAAAATTTAATTTCGGGTTTCTGCTATTTTGAATGATGCATATGAACCAGCAAAGAAGACTTAGAGCTTTCAAGAGCATACATACTTTATTTCAAATGAGGTCAATGTTGTTGACGAAGAACTAAAACAAAAAGTGAAACAGAACTTATCACACAACCTATTACATAGCAACAAAAAAATCACGAAGAGGAAGGGGCGCGCAAAGAAAAATAGAATTTACGCAAGACTTGACATGAAAAAGTTTCATTCCCGAATCTCACTCTTCAGAATTCTTCACATTACAAGAAGAAGTAAGATGCGAGAACGAGAGGAAAAT